ACCGTAAAACTGAAGAATACAGGAATAAGGCAAACTTTACTCACTTAGATCACAGTATGAGTAAGCATAAAATAAGTACATTTCAGTTAGCCTCCTATGATGGTGCATGCTAACATGCTAACTTCTCTCCTTTTCTTCATTCATGGAGGCTATGAAGGTAGATTTGTTTCTTAATTATTCAATCAAAAAAAGGTTGCTTCAATCAAAAAATATATTTTCAATCAAAGAAAAAGTATTTGAATGCAGAAATATATTTGAGACTTAAAATAATACATTTGAACACTGCTTTTCTTAATTATTTGATAGAAGTCCAGTATTTTTTGTTTAAAGCAACTTTTTAAATTGAAGTAACATTGTTTTTTAATTGGACCATATAAGGGGTAGGACGTTTGTGTCTTTTTTATTCAATCAAAAAAGAAGTTGCTTCAAACAAACAAACAACAGAATCAATAAAAAAAACTAACTTCAATGAAAAGATAAAATTTTCCAATCATAGAAAATAGTTTTTGAATGCAAATAAATATTTGAGACTCAAAATATTGCATTTGAACACTTTTTATTGTTGAAAATGTTCTCTCTGGTTGAAGGAATCTATTTTTTGTTTGGGGCATACATGGGTAGGACATTTGTGTCTTAATCATTCAATTCCCAAAAAGTTGTTTCAATCAAAAAAAAAAAAAAAAATCAATCAATCAAAAAAAAAATTATTTTGCTTTTTTTTGCGTTTTTTCGTTTTTTAGTGAAAAAAAAATTTAAGTTAAAATAGTTTTATTTGAATCCATTTTTTTAAATGCAAAAAGTTTTGAAGTAAAAATTTTTTTGATTGATTAATTTTGACACAAATGTTCTGCAGTGGGCGGGTGCTTCTCTATTGGACAGACATGTTTGATTGACAGTGTAGAGTATAGATCATGCATCCTGATGATATCTATACCACGTCAGATAGAGTTTCACCGTTAGAGAGGGGGAACGCTCATAGTTTATAGGCCCTTCAGTTCCAACCATCCATCCATCCATCCATCCATCCCGATTTTTCCCTTTCTCCATATAGGCTAACATTTGATCCTTCACGCTTTAGCGAGTATGCGCGTTTCCTGTCGCTTGTGCGGTGAATCGTAACGCCTGCTCCGTGCGGAAATGCAAGGGAAACCGTATCTGATGGGGAAACCCAACTCAACGAAAGTGCGCATTCAGCTCGGCAAAGAACTCATGCTCTTCCTCAACACTGAAGTCCTCAGACATTTTTCTTTCGTTGTTTCTTTCTTTGCACNGTACGAAATAGTGTGCATAACTTTTCGTACGATTTCATACGCACTGATAATGAGAATATGTTGATCAGCTAAGTGAGCTTAGTGCTTGGAAAAAATCTTTCATTCCTTTAGAGACAGCATGAAAAGTCAGCTGAGTACAAAACATAGAGAGGAAAACAAGAAGAAAAGGGACAAGAAGAGAGGGACACAACCTAGAACAGATAATGGATGTCTATTCTATTAACATTTCTATATCTGGAGAATGGGGCTGTTCTATGTGATGTCTTCTCCATTCACAGGGGCCCCCTGCCTGTCTTTGCCTAGGGCCCCACATTTCCTAAATCCGCCCCTGGGGTGAAGAATTAGCCAGAACTTCTGGCTGTCAGGAGGGACGGAGATGAAGACCGGGTCAGGCGGTTCTCTCACCTCCACGCCGCTCTGAAGAACCGCCCATCTGAGCGGGTCCAGGATCTGCCAGGAGGTCAGAACCAACACATCCAGCAGGAGGATCCAGCGCAGGATGAAGCCGGTTCCCTTCAGATGGGTCCGATGCTGAAATCACAGAACCATCAACATTCCATCCTGGGATGTTCTTTCCGGGACCTTCTGAGCACCGGCGTGAAGTTAGTTTGAAGTCATAGTGAATAAAGTGAATGTGATTGGTCAATTATCAAGGGGGCGGGATTGTTGTGGCGGAAGGTTTGCAAGCATGTTTGGTTGTAGCCGGTTTGTGGGAAGCATCTTGCTAACCAGTTAGCATCTTAGTGCTAGCAGGTTCCCAATGGGAAATTCCATTGGGACCAAGTAAGTCACCAATTTAGTGACACATGAATCAAGATGCTATGAAAATATTTGATTGACAGATGACCGTTGATATATGATTGGCTGAATTTAGGTGTTCAGGCTGACGTAGAACTAACTGGCCTGCAGAAGATAACGGAGAAAAAACTGATTTTAAGACTTTTCTAAATTTTGGGATATTATTGTCTGATAAAGAGTACATTTATATACATGTTTAAGCCAGAATGATTTGACATTTAAATATGATTTCCCTACGACTTCCCTACGTATCAGTGCCCTATTTCTCGGTGTATTCTTAATTCGATTTAGTCGTTGACATGAACATTACTTTAGGATTTGTTCTATAGCTGATTTTGAGTCGGTGGCTTACCTGGCCTAGAAGCTCTTGAAGAAAAACACAAAATTTAAACAATTACTAAAAAATATGAAAATGACTTCAAATGGAATTATAATGTATTTGGCTCATTTGTATAATTTGTTAGCACAACTTGACATTGTTTTTTGCTTCAGTGGACCGCAATACAATACAATATTTAAATTTTTTTGGTTTCCCAAGAGTTTTTGGTTCGGAAATTTGTTGACGGTCCCTAAAAGAACGAGGGCTGGTGAGAAGAGGGAGCAGCAGAGAGCTGCCTGCCGTTTGAGCTCCTGAATCGGATTGACGGTGAGCTAAGTGCCTCTAACTCTGCGGAGCTTGAATATATAAAATATCGAGCTTCAAACTAACTTCACAGCCGGACCTTCAGCCTGGTTCTGGTTTTACCTTCTGCTGGACCCTGCAGAGAGAGTAGACCCTCCAGGTTCTGGTGAACAGCGCAGAGAAGCTCACGGTGTGACCCACTGACAGAGTCCACAGACGGACCTGCAGCACGGAACATCTCACACTCAGCCCACCGGTTCAGCCCAGAAGCTCCGTGCTGCTGCTGCTGGACTCACCGAGCAGAGGATCTCCAACGTCTGGTCCGGCAGCGAGGTTCTGTCCAGCCCGGAGCACAGGACCGACGAGGAAGTCAGCATGAGGCCCAGCAGAACCAGCTGGTCCTGGGACGGACTTCCGGACCTCAGCAGCCTGGAAGCAGAAGGACACCTGAGCGTTCTGGAGGTTCTGCCTTCACCTGGATCCGAGGTGGACCTACCGGCGCCTGTGGCCGACGAGGATGATGCAGAGGAAGATGAGGGAGATGAAAATGGTTCCAGCAGCAGCTGACGAGATGACGGCGTAGAGAAGGAGGCTGACACGGCGCTGCTGCAGGCGGACCGTGGTCTGATCCTTGGCCGGTCCAGAACCTGCAGGATCAGTTTGGACCACCTGAATAACGTCGACTTTCATGCACAAAATAGACGTTTATTCAGACGCATGATGGAAACCCAAAAGGTCCAAATCCGTTAGGTTCTGCCTTATGCCAGAATGGGATCCATCAGCAATGAGCGGCCTGCTTTCAGACCTTTAAACTTCAGCAGCTGGGTGGTGATTCGGAGCTGCTGGGTGGTCGTGTTGAACTCTCCCACCAGAACTCCTCCGTCCCCTGAAGACAAACAGACGCAGCTCAACGTCTAGAACCGGGTCAAACTCAGCAGATTCGCTCCTCACCCTGGAACTGGATCAGCTCCATCACCGTCATCCTCTCCCCGTTCCGGAAGGAAACCGGACCCTGGAATAAGACAGCATCCCTGACGCCGGTTGACCTTTTGACCTTTCAGAAACTTCAAAACGAAAGCGGCACAAACAAAGACGAGAGCATCTGTTCTCCTCACTGTGACTCCTTCGAAGTGGGTGTTCTTCACCGCCTCCAGCAGCAGCTTCACCTTCTCCTCCTCATTAACCGAGACGTTCCTCAGCGAACCGTACTTCGCTCTGAGTTTCACCGCCTCCGCCACCTGAACCAGGGCCCTGGCAGCCACCCAAACGGCGTCGTAGGCGAAGGCATGCAGGGGGCTGACCCCTGACCCGTCCAGCACCAGCTGCTCCAGGTACGACTCCAGGTAGCCCTGAGGAGTCTGCGGACAGAACCCAGAGAGAAAAGGGTTCTTTAAGGTCCCTCCGACATTATAGACGGACTCTGGGCCGTTTCTCAATTTAAAAGAACGC